AACTAGGTTCGGTCTGCAGAATAGATCCGGTTGTGAATAAGTCGTTTTAATGATATACACCATAACACCGGTCGCGGTTATAAGTTCAATATTGTATAATATACGGTATATTTTTACGACCGGTGTACGAATGTGCAGATATTATTGTGTCGACTGCAGCCTATACGAGTATTATATTATATTATATTATGTGCGTAAACGAGACGGCGCCGAGCTGCACTTGTAATAAAAAAATAAACACTATATTAGCAGCCCCGGGGTTCGAGCTCCGCAAAGATAATAATAATAATAATAATAATAATAATAATAGTTTAATATAAATAATATATATATCGCTGTAAGCCGACGAGCCAGTCCTGATCGGTGGAAGACACAAGCGCCAAAATGAGATAAGAAAAAAAAAGTTGTATCGTTCGAAAGAGCCAAAATCCTAGATACCCACGCTCAATAGATATTATATTATATTTTAATAATTTACTATTGAAATTTTTTTACAAGGTCGAAAAAATCAACTGATTTATTAAAATTATAGGTAATTTATTAATTTCTTTTATATTTATTGACAATTTTTTTTTTAAGATCGACATTTTTAAATAACTATTTGTACAAGATATTAATTTTGGCGCAAATGACATATAATTTTTGCACCTTTGGCTCTCCTGTCATATGTTGGGTACAACGGGGAAATAATTTAAGATTGGCGCTATGTCCTTCATATTTTGGTATGTCCCGATGACTCAATAATGTGTGTACGATGATGAATTGATGACTATAATACGAAGACGACTTGATATTATATTAAGAGGACGCCTCACCCGCATAATATGTCGTGTCCGTCTTACGAGTGCGTAACATAGCAAATTGTACGCTCAGCAGAACACGTGTAGCTCTGTTAGTTTGAAAATTAGAGTGAATAGACATCTTATAAAATTTAAAATGATTATTATTCAGGCAACTTTATGGGATTTTTATTATATTTTAATTTTAAAGCGAGTTATGAATATTTTATGATGTACAAACAGTTTCCAATTTTAAAATACTCATAACTCGCTTTAAAGTTAAAATATAATAAAAACAAACCCGTGAGATTGCTTGGATAATAATCTTACCTTTAAATTTTATGAGAAGTAATTTCTCTCTAATTTTTAAACTAACGGAGCTACGCGTGTTCTTCCGAGCGTACAATTTGCTATGTTACACACTTGTAAGTTGTAAGACGGAGACAATATATGAGGGTGAGGCGTCCTCTTAATATTGACCGTTCGATCGACGATCGTCTTTTCACAGATGGAATTTCGCAGACCAGAAGATAATATTATAGATTCGACCAAAATGAGATTATTGCCTCTGAATATATACTTACGTATATTCTTGCAACGTAATTTTATATCGATATTATAGTGCCATTATATTCCATTGTTTAACACCATTGTATAACAAATAGGTGGACGGAGTAATTTACGACGAAAACTATTTCTATATAAAACTATAGACGATATCTATTTCGATTATTTTACAGTGTTTTAGAAAATAATAATTTTATTACGGAAACCCGAAAAATGTCGACCCATTATATTGATAATGGTATTTCATATAAAGACGCGAGATATTACTTTCAAAAATATTTGACCATTTTCAAACAACGGAAATTCAAAAAATATTTTTGTATTACCAATATCGAATTGTGTCAGATCTATTATAATATACATATCTGCCTCGCATATAAATACTGAAAGGTTAATAATAATGACGTTTCGTCAAGATTTTTACTTTCGTTGAATTAGATAATCACCAAACAATTAGAATAAGTATTCTTCAAATTTAAAGTTACAAGATTATATTGATAATGGTATTTCATATAAAGACGCGAGATATTACTTTCAAACATATTTGACCATTTTCAAACAACGGAAATTCAAAAAATATTTTTGTATTACCAATATGTGCTATCGAATTGTGTCAGATCTATTATAATATACATATCTGCCTCGCATATAAATACTGAAAGGTTAATAATAATGACGTTTAGTCAAGATTTTTATTCTCGTTGAATTAGATAATTACCAAACAATTAGAGTAAGTATTCTTCAAATATTTAAAGTTACAAAACCGGCGGTCGTAAAAATAATAGAAAACAAAGTTTCCGATGTCCGACCCGACGAGATATTGCCATTATTATCAAGTGACCATAAAAACGTATTAACCAAACGACGGGAAGCAGTTAAAAGGTATTATTTTTTAGGTTCATTTTTTATTTTTTAACAGTGAAAAAATAATCCGACGGTCAAATATTAAAAAAAAAAAAAAAGTCTCCTCTTTATATTTACGATACAGCCGGTTTATAATATACTGTATCTACATATAGTCGAACATAACAATGGAAAGGACATTATTATTATTGTTTTTTTTTTTTCAAAATGACGAAAGTGTGTACGGCTACAGCCTATCGTGGCATGCGTAGGACATGACATATAGCAGACAAAGAAGGTGGTGAATAATGGTGTAACACCCTTTTAATTTGCTGAAAGCTGCACGCGTGTAAACCTACAACCGCCGCCGCCGTCTCGTAACTAACGACAGTTTATTTATTTATTTTTTTTTTTACAAATTTACGATCGTTTTTATTGAAATAATAAAATTTAACAGCGCTGTACACCAAAGACGTTACGCTCGCAGTTAACTAGGTCTGAATAAGTTTATGTTTTCACGTCTTTTCACTATACCTGTATTTTAGTGTTTAAAGTTTTGTGAATTATTATGATACTTCCAATGTTATTGTTATACGGTTCCTCGGGCGTGCGATCATAGTGATTATTATTTTAGTAACGCATGTGAAATATTTCGTAAAAAGTGTAATACACGCTATATAAGACGTATACTAAATTGTTAAGTAACTACACGTTATATTATATGTACAGGGTGACTCATCGAGCACGTCCAACCCATTTTTATCTTCAACGATGCAGTTATTTAAAATCTGATTTTGGAAATTGTTACATAGGTATTAGGTACCTACCTACACTCGTATACTTAAAGACCATGTTTTCGAATTATTGAGATTTAGTGCTCTGTCAAGACACAAACTTCTGTTTTTCAAATGAGAAGCCCCCTCTTTTCAACTATAAGTTGTTGAGCGGATAATTTTTCTGAATAATTTGATATATCGGAATCAAAATTCGTACGAGTACCTCTACGTATAGTTTTTGTGTGATTTAAATTTGTGTTCTTAGGATAAAAGGTCCATATGCCAATGGGCTTATAAGATATAGTGATTTGACAATTTTAGTCATTAATATCAATCTATCAACATTAATACCTAATTTATAAAAATGGTCAAAGTATATTATAATAAATACTGGTTTTAATATTGAGTCTTTTTTAAATTTGTGTAAAGGACTATTATCTTTAGTGCAAACTTTTTAAAAATAAAGAAACTACTCATTTAAATTTTGAATTTAGGTAAATCGAGATTTTCAAAATTTACTGGTAAAAGAGTTTTCATTTGAAAGTCAGAAGTTTGTATCGCCATTGTAGGATATTCTTTTAGTACTTGCCTAGTAGTACTTACCTTACTAAAATTCAAGAAATTGAGAAAATTGTCACTGAGTAAGTTTATTTAAAAATTCCAAAAATTAGAGTTTGAATAAATTCATTGTTAACTGAACAATTGGAGGGGGTGAACGTGCTTGGTGAATCACCCTGTTTATAATAGCATGTATCATATTTACAAGTTAACAGGTGGGTCCGTTGACTATAATAATATTATATACATAATTACCTAATAACAATGTGATTATTAATAATACACCGGTGTACACTGCAGTAATTACGAGCAGTTTTTCGAACCAATGTTGCTTAAAAACCCATAAATAATGATAATTAGCGGGCGACGAACATTGTTATTAGCATGTAAAACATAAATTATGCTAACGCGATATCAAACTCTCCGTTCGCCTGCAGTACACACACACGCCGGCAGTTCGATAGTTTTTGAAATTATTGGAAAACGATATTTCGTAAAATATCCAAATACTTTCTAGCTGGTGATCATTACCGATGATTACCGCCGAAACCATGTAATAGGTTTTAATGTTAACCATTATATTTTTTTTTTTTAACGGACAGTTTTACAGCACCTTCTACGACCACGATAGTAAATAATATTATCACGTCCATATCTATGCGGAATATCAGCTGGATAATGCGCACGCGCGTTGTAGAATATTGCGTAATTTTTTGCACCTCAAAGCCACCGTACAATATTTTTTACGATCCCATCATACAGACATCAACTAAATGGGTACGATACGTCGTTAAGGGGCCTCAACAATGACATTTATTAAGGAACATTATATAGGCAATTTCTAAACTACTGTTGTGGATGTGTTAGTAATTGTATACTCGTAAATGGACATTATGTTAGTAAGTCGGTTAGCTTGTGCCGCGTCGGGTGACAACGACGCGATGGTTGAGAATGGTGTGTGGGGTCACTTTACGCACTCGCAGGCACAAGTCGAACAGATTGTTCGAAATAAATGCAAAGAAAAATTTCGCCCTAAAGACACGATTCTACTTTTAACAGTACGCTCTTATAAATACTCCGATTTAAGTTTTGAAAAAACTTATAAATTCTTAATAACATTCCAAGGCATCGCTCGTGATACAATTTAAAAAATATTTATAATTATTTAATTATTTTGACTTGAAAAGTTACAATTTTTTAAGTTTTGTAATCGTTTAAAAAATAATATTGACAATAAAAATTTAAAATTTATTCCGACCGATGCATCAAGCAAGTATTGAAAAATCTAAATCTGTTTTCAAAACTTATGTCGGATGACGCATTCTAGAGTATGGTTAAATTTAGAATGTGTTATTTTCAATTAAAAACGGGCTGGTGTAGAGGCCCCTTAAATCAATATAATAATATATTATTCGCCGATAACCTTTTCCCTCAAATCGATTAATATTTTGCTGCGAACGGATTTCGTATAATTTACCTGGTCTCTTCGTCGATCACGGGTGTGATGGACCCTGTCCTGGGTCCATAGCCATAATAAGAGTTTTCGTCGAACGACGAACCCCCCGGAGACATGTACGGTGCGGCCGTGTACCCTCCGGTCCTAGAACTAGCCCTCTCCGGCGATGACATGTACCCTGAAACATTTGAAATATAATATATAGGTTGATTAATTATAATTATATCGCTTCACATGTAAAAAAGGTTTAATGCATCGAACGGAAAAACATACATAGTTGCATAGCCAATTCCTAAATCTAGACTCGTGGTGTCAAGCCAAGTTGAAGCTAAAGAGACCGCACCATAATATTACACGAACCATTTGGAGCCACTTTTGACCCCCTCATAACTCAAAAACTATTTCACATAAACATGTAAAATTTGGCTCATATGGAGGACTTGCACGTGTGCTCCAATTTTCATAAACTCGCCTCAAACGGTTATCTAGATCGTCATTTTTAACATCAGGTCACACAGACCCTAAGGTTTCAATATATTATCCCAAGTTATAAGAAGAAATGATATTTTAAGTTATAAAATATTTTATGTCGATAAATGTCTTAAAATTTCAAAATGACCATTGAACTTGGCACCCATTTAGATCTCACTTCTTTTGTCGTTGAAGTCAACAACCAAGCCATATATATTATAATACTGAACTTGGCTCTCATTTCACATATACCTATGTTTTTGATCGAATTGTACTCTACATGATATGCAAAATAATCTCACCACTGTCAAAGCATTAATTATGTATAGTAACCAGTACCGGGGTTCATCAAGTATAATAATTAAGGAAAAGTATTTCCAAACGTTGGAAAATAATGAAAATTGAATCCGTTCAAATCGTATCAAATATAAATAATTACCGTAACTTTTTGGACGGCATTTTATAGTCTTAGGAGCATTAATCATGATAAATGTCATTATTTATAATTACTCGAGTCGGGTTTACTGAGCTGTACATAACGTAGAAAATACTGCTTTGAAATCATTAAAAACTTACAATTTCAAGTATTTGAAACAACAATTACAGTTTTTTCCAAAAGCAACCGAATAACACTTAGTTTTAGGTACTTATAATAATATAGAGTGTGTTCACAAAAATAGGGTACACCGTTAGGTACGTTTTGTATTAATCGGTACCCTAAACATATTTTTGAATTTTGTTTGCGGGACATGAGAGTAAACTATTGGATCGTAAATTCCTATGACTTGCAATTTTTTAATTTTGTATTTTGCACATGCGCAACGACTTCCCTTACAGTTTTCAACCGATAGGAGAAATTAAATACCTTTAGAATATTGTTTTTATTTTTACGATTTACTTTACATGTATACTTTGTGCCATATAGCTTCAGTTTATAATATTTAAAACTTCAAATATTATTTTTGGTCTAAAATGCCGATGTCTTGTACCTAGGTATGCAATGTAAATAACGTTTCTTTAGTAGGTATTAAATAAAATGCGCATAATATAAAATTTATAGCTAATTTCAGAAAATAATGTCTGCATAACTTAATAATATATACCTAACATGTATAATATATGGTCGAGATTAGATGGTAACGTTATGATATTATTACTGTCATTATTTTTAAGCGTGAAAACGAACGATAAAAAAAAAAATAGTAATATTCAAAAGAAAACGAGATTTATCATTGTTTAATAAAATATGTAGTTTCATTATAAAGTTTAAATTAAAAGAAAAAATATAAAGTTATAATTTATCAAACTGTACAGTACACGCGATAAAAATAATCTTTATAACTAAGACATTTGTTTCGTTACGGTTGCAGTGTGCTTATAAGAATTAATATCAAAACGACTATTGTATTAGGCTGATTAAGGAGGTTGCAAATGGACAGTTTTCGAGGAGTCAAAATAGGCAATTTTCAAATCGTAGCACGATCGATCTCAAGTAGACATAATGTTAACGAATTCAAATCACTTTTCAGAAGTCGTATTATCGCTTTATAATTGGTATGCAATCTGTGTGATTGACAAAAGATTGGTACCTACATATTGGTTGAAATAATAACCGTCCGTTTGCAATACCCTTGATTATAATATTATACACATGCGATATTACAGTGAAACCTCTGAATACCGGACGCTCTCTTGTGGGCGGTTTCCAAGAAAACGTCTGCCATTGGGAGGTGTCCGTTAGTGGAGGTTTTACTGTATCATATACGTTTTTGACTTGTAAATATGTGTCAAGTTATTCAATTGGTGCGAAACGTTGAGAGTAAAAAATAGTATAAGATGATTTAAACTTTGAACGAATTCGACGGGAGAACTTTATAAATACAGATTACAGAGTGACTATATATAGACATATTATAATAGCGGGGTGTACATTATTGTCGGACGAAAAATAAAAGTTTAAAACATAATAATATACCAAAATGTATAAAGTTCGTAAACGATAATATACGTTTAGCGAGTATAATAATGTCTACCGCGGGATGGTCGTCAAAATATAATAATTCGTTTACCGTCGACGAGTGTTATAGGTAGAGGGAAATTATTATAATAACAATATTATTATTACGATCGGTCGTACGACGGCGCTCTTCCTCGCTTCCGGTATATATTATATAGGAATAATAATGGTAATAACAATATAATTGTGTAAATATAATTTAATATTCCGAAATCCAATCAAGTGTTGGAAAGGTTACGGATCCGAATTCGTTTTACATGTAATGAGGAGTACCGCGAACGGGACTTCATCGCCGCTCGTGTTGGGGTACTTTACTTTACATATATTATATATATATTCACTGCAGTATATATATATATAAGAGTAGACCTGCATATAATAATAATAATAATAATAATACAGCCTTCGGGGGCCAGAAACTTTCTTCGGATAACATTATTGTCGTTTTCGTCGCCCCATTCATTGGCGGTTGTGCAGCAGTCTCTAAACCATAACTAATTTCGAATAATTAATAAGTGCGACGACGAGGGTTAGAATAATAATTAAACAACGGACTAGTGTTTTGAATAAGCCGTCGAATTTCGCTGTCGTCGTCTCGTCGGAGTGACCTCGAAACGCCGCGGTTTGGTGGCCACTCCGACGCGATATATAATATGGGTACAATGGATCGGCACGATTATTATATTATCATTATTTGAGTGATAATACAATATAAATAATATATATTATTTCATACCATTATGTCGAATACGCATGAGCGTACGTGCCTCGTTGTGCACAAATGCAATAATAATTTATATGTATCGGAACAGGTGGCGCAATCGGAATTTTTTTCAATCAGGGGTGGGAACGATGCTAGAAGACCACTATGCAGTGCGTACAAGTTATAACTTGGGCTATGTGAAAGTAATGGCGTATAAAAACCCAAAAAATGCTTAAGAAGAAAGTGATTTCTAAAAATGTAAAATATTTCACCTATAAAATGCGCTTTATTCGAATTTTGGAAATTTTAACGTGTCATCGCTAAACAGTAGACGCCTATACTCGTCATTACTCAGAAATTTACGATTATGTATACTATACCTGACCACTAAATCTTTATCAGAATTTTGACTTCCCTAAATCCTAACTAACCCTAAAAAAGCAACTTTAGGCGCAACAGATACATATTTATCCAAATACATATTCAACGAAACCAAAGCACCCCCTCCTAATATTACAGATGTAAACGCCTACATCGCTACACCTTAATCGATTATTGTATTATATTATTGTCTGAATTATTCATAAAACATATTGTTGTTGTTGCGATCTGCGTGGACATTGACTCAAATTCAAGTGGACACAATTACATAATACAATATCGTACGCGTTTTCGGGGTCGTGTCGGTGCGCACATAATATAGAGAAACAAAAGAAAAAGAAACCTCGCGGACGTGGTCGACCGTATATCATAAGACCTAAGGGACAATAATAATTATTATTGTCATCGCTCACTAAATATTATGTTTATGATAATATGCGAAGGTCGAGTTTTCGTGTGGACAATTTGATTATAGACGTCAAACGGTGGCGCCAATATATAACAATAATTGTGCTCGTGAGCATATATAATACCTGCGTCAAGCTAAAAATATCGTACTCATAATAATATATAGGTACCAGTTATAGTATATTATAATATCTAATCGATTGTGGGGAATATACGTATGTATGGAGGTAGGCACTGTGTTGCGTTCTTTTTTTACATGCTTTCCTTTAACTCGCAATGTTTCATTCATTCATTTCTGTTGTCATCAAATCTTGCGAGTTCAATTTAAGTCACTTCTACATGACCTAGGAGGCTCAAATGTTGTATGGAGGTCTAGGGTCGGTGACAATACATGACCCAGTTGTCAAAAAAAATAAAAAAATCCTTTGTTTCTAATTTATTGTTATCACTAAAAAAAAAATTAAAAAAAATATTTTAAAAACATGCTTTTCTTAATACCTACTACTTAATACATGACCGAAAAAGTTGAAAATAAACTTACTTTTAAAACAATTTCTTAATGAAACTTCAAGGTTATCAAGATATTACTAGAAGTGTTTCTAAAATGTATTTGTTGCAAAATTTTTAAAACTTGTGAATTACAAAAACGAAAAGCATGGGGCACTTATGATAACTCCCATGTAAAGTCACTCTACAACTGAATCATTAGATAAACTTTAAGATAAATATTTTAAAGATTATTGATCACACTTTAAATTTTGTAAGAGATATTCTTGACTCATAGGAGCCCCATGCATTTCGTTTTTTGTAATTCACAAGTTTTAAAAATTTTGCAACAAATACATTTTAGAAACACTTCTAGTAATATCTTGATAACCTTGAAGTTTCATTAAGAAATTGTTTTAAAAGTAAGTTTATTTTCAACTTTTTCGGTCATGTATTAAGTAGTATTAAGAAAAGCATGTTTTTGAAAAATTTTTTTAAATTTTTTTAAATTTATTTATCGACGAATATCAAACGAATCGATGACTTTTGGCCTGATCGATACCTATCTGTATAATATTGTTATGCTGCAGCACACAATGATACGAATGCTGAAAGAAGACGTCGTGGGTGTGCATATGTACAAAGAGGTTCCGTATCGGCAGGAGGCAAAGGTCGTCAGAGAATTTAATAAAATACGCAAGCATACATTTTG